TTTTACAAACCTTTAAAACTCACGGTGTGCAGACACTAAAATACGCATCAGAGTCCAGATACTAATGGATATATGTTCATATGTACCACGTGAAGGCATGTATGGAGGCGTTGCAGTAATAAAGGTAATGAATGTTAGAGCTGTCAGATTAATGACTGTAAGGACGAGTCTCATTTTGTGCATTAGAGAGAGTCATCAGTTGTCAATCAGACTCTTACACCAGCCTTCATATATTAGCCTGTTGCCTCCTACTGTGGAGGTGAAGAAACAAATTCTGTTTCAGCAGTGATTGAGATAACATTGAATCACAAAGTTTCTCCTGTAAGAGGGTTTTTACTGAAAACTATTTGCAGTGTTAGCAAACCGACTGACTGCCGGAGTGTTTAAAGCTTACGTCTTTGTCTCCAGAATTGCTGCCTGGCTTGGCTGTTTGACCTGGTCACCGCTCTGTACTTTGAGATCTTCATGGTGGTGGTTATCTTCTTCAACATGGTGGTTCTAATGGTGGAGACTAATGATGAGAGTGAGGAGAAGTCACTTGTCCTGAACTGGATCCATCTCATCCTTTTGGCCATCTTCCTTGTTGAGTTTATCCTGAAGATCATTGCACTCAGACAGCATTACTTCAGAAATGTCTTGCACATTGTGGACTTTGTGGTTCTCACTTTGTCCATTATAGGTGAGTCCTACACACAGAAACAATCTTCTTTTCTTATCTGATCTCAGTTTGGTTAGTTACCGCAAATGTCTGCGGGCTGTAACAGGCAGTACAATGTTCCCTGTTTTTACTCTAAAGTCAGTCCGTGTCATCGTTTCTGCAGTTTAAAATGTCTTAAGTCTTTGCCCTCTTCCTGATTTCCTGATGTTTGTCACGCTTACATGTTTCAGATCAAACAATGAAAGTATTTGTCAACGATAACACATGTAAACACAAGCTGAAGTTTCTAAATGAATGTGTTTATTATTAAGGGGAAAACCCCCAAATCCAAACCTAGCCTGTGTGGAAAACCTCCACTTATGGCATCAAAAGCAGAAGAAAGAGTGTGGAGTGTCTGTGTTATTTCCAAACTTCCATTGTTGTCTAAAGCATTGGAGAAGATGGTCTTCTCGCAGACGCAGGCCTCCTTGGATGCAAATAATATCAGCGATAAATTCCAGTCTAGCTTTAAACCACACCATAGCACCAAAACAGTGCTGCTGAGAGTCCTTAATGGCCTTCTTTTATTTGCCGACTCAGAGTGCTCTACGTTCTTAGTTTCATTGGACTTGACTTCTGCCATTGATATGGTTGACCATAATATCCTCCTATTGAGGCTTGAGCATACAGTAGGCATAATGGGTAATGCCCTGAACTGGTTGAGATCGTATCTGTCGGACAG